TCACAGTCAGTATATTTTATATTTTGCATTCTTATTTACATAACTTTTACCAGCTCAAATACCCTCATTTCGCATGTAGCACTTGACCAACAATTGGACAACATCATTGGTGAGATTGGCGCTTGGTCTAATTTCTTTATCCAACATCAGTACAATCAAGTATGTAGATTTACGAGCGAAACCTTTTTCAATAAGCTCCATCAAAATGCTATGGAAACGACGTCTTCGGCAAAAATGAAACAAGAACCAGTATGAACCATGACAAAAACCAAACATCCATTCACAAAAGTGCTCAACAACGAAAACATAAACACATGATAGAACTACAAATAAAATCAAAACAAAAAACATTAATATAAATACAGAAAACAACATAACAATAATAAATAAGGAAAAAATAAACAAAATTGCTCATTTGTCGTCTCATATCAATATCTTCATCAGCAAAAAAAAAAGAAAAAAAGAAAAAAATCTGCTAATATACCAAACATAAACTATAAATAGACATCAAATAAAAGTTGAAACTAATCTAACCGAAACTATCCACATGCTGCCGCTGCTCACAACAGGGTTGTCGTCGTGCCACTGAGACTCCGTCGACGACTGTTCCCGAGGCGAGCCCACAGCCGCAACCACTCGTCTTGGAGGTGCTGGATTTATCACCGCCACAAGTTGTTTTCGCCTTTGGACAAGCCAAGCAAATTGCTGACGCTCCAAAACGGGGACACCATTAGTCTCATTACGCTGCCTTGGAAAAACTCCACCGGTGCTCGACCCTCTGTTGTTGGTGCCCAACAGATCGAGTTCCCACTCCCTTTGGCCGAAGCCCGCCGTCCGACGACCCTTGCCACTCACGAGCCGAATGGGAACGCCACATGATCGTAGCCATCTGCTACAACCGCCCAAGCAAATAAATAAAAATAAAAAGAGAGAGCGAAGAATAGAGAAGATTGTAAATGGCGTGAGGCGTTGATGTTTTTTAAGTTTTGGGAAGTTACAAAAGTAAAATCATATTAAATTTGGGCAGTTACCAATTGCATGAGATTACTTTAATAATTTTTTATAAAAAAGGTAAGTTAAAACTTGAGAAAATCTGGTATGTAAATAAAAATTTATGTCAAATTTTATATGTTTGTAAATAAAAAAAAAAATATATTAGTATATATGCAATATTTTATATTTTA